AGTCAGGAGGCAACAGCATCTGCCTGGCTTCCTACTGCTGCTCCCACCTTGGTGTCGCTGTGCACCCAGGGGCAGTGGGGCTGGCCATGGTTGGGGCTGACCCCACGCCTAGTTTGTGTGGTGCTGAGGGTTCTGCTGCTGGCCAGATCCAGTCTGCAGGCCATATTTTGCCCACCCTGGCCTAGAGGTAACCAGAGATTAGTAGTGTAACAAGAAGCTTGTTTTAATTCCACAGAAAAGGGCGGGGGGGCATTGTAGTATCTGAGATGCTGGTGTGTTAACTCCTTCCCCCCCCCTTATTTTGTGGGGGGGACTTTTTTACATGAAATGTCTTCATAAACTAACTTAATAGACGTACTTTTAACTTGGGGTATAGGTTACCTCTCCTCTTTTATATCTCTTATTACCTGAGGAAGTGGAGGTAAGCAGAAAATGGGGCAAATGCAGTATGGTTGCTTTCCAAAAACATTCAGACCAACCTAATCTTTCTTTAAGAACTAATTCCTCAAAAGGAAATGGGGTGAATCTCTTGTCTACATGTTAAACAAGGCACTTGATATCGTGTCTCAAAAGAAACCATTATTAAAGGTGGGTGGGGACTTAAAAAAAAAAAAAAAAAAAAAAAAAAAAAAAAAAAAAAGGCTAGGAGCTGAAAGGGAAAGATTGTGACAGGTTATACTGAAAGAGGAGTGATCAAGATACAGGGTACCTGGGTCCTTTGGGACAGGTTTTGAGACCAATCCTGCTTGGTATTTATTATTAACATCCATCTGTTTCTTGCCTCCAGGTTGTTAATGTAACTTGCATCTAAGTCCATTAGGAGGCAACCAGTACTAAGGAGGACCAGATTATCATATAGAAGAATTAAATAATGTAGTACGTTGGGGAAATAGAAATGGGATGAAACAATATCATTATGTGAAAAAACTGCAGTACCAAGAAGTTTTTGCTATTGGGTAGAGAGAAGTGACTGAGGAGGGGAGTTTTCTGGGTGTAACGACCAATCGTAAAATGACCATGAATGGCCAATGTGATATGGTTTTGGGAAGGCGGGTGTAATTCAATGATGTATTGAGGATTTTTAATAGGGATGTGTTAGTACATTATACATGGTATTGATCTGTCTTAATTTAGACTGTTGTATATTGCCTTCTGGTAATCTACTTTCAAAAAGGATTGAACTGGAACGTGAGCAGAAAAGGGCTGCTAGGCTGGTGGGGAATGGAAAACCGATATTATGAGAAGAAATTAAGAGCCTGACTTTTATAGTCTCAACAAATGTTTCAAAAGTTAGGATTATTCTGCATAAATTGGCAGGGTGGAAACTAGTTAAGTAGCTCTTTTTACCTTTAGGCCAGTATTGGCACAGACTCTAGTGCTGGGTGGTCAGCGAGCAAGTGGCAGGGCAGCTGCTGTTGGCTTGTGCTTTTTACCTTCCTCTGAGGTATCAGTGATGGTGTGTGGTGCGCTGTTGCTTACTATTGTACTGAGGAAGCAATTTGGACCATTAGCTTGCTCACATGCTCCAGGTTAAACTAGACTTGGTTTTGGGGAGGAATTGGTTTTTAGATAAACTTCTTGTCTTTTTCTTTTTCTGTGCGGCATAGTTTGACCATGCAATTCCTTGTTGTTGCAGGTGGTCCAATGGTGAAACCCTGGTCTCTCCTCTACTGTGGCCTGTTCCTACTGTTTTTGAGATTTCTGGCCTCTTGTATTTAAGGCATTGAGTTTTATTACAGGGTACTGAGGGCAGGGGTATTTTGTGGTATACATGTTCTCCTGGTGTGCATGTTTGTTCTTTGTAAACACTACTTTGCTTAATGTAGGCAATTGTGTAATGGATCAGTGTTCAGCAACTTTTTTAGGCTGCAGGTCAAAATGATCCAGCTCAGGTCAGAGGCGGGGGGGTGAGCACTAGGGCCCAGACAAGACTACCATTTTCTCCCCCACCCCTTCAGGTGGCATGGTGAAAGTGCTGCCCTGCAGCTGCCCAAGCTAGATCAAATGATGATGAGGACTGTAGGTTGCTACCCTCTATAATAGACATTTGCAGAGAGACTGGGATTGTAATTCAAGCGATCCCTATTTGTTTCTCTGTTTTCACCTTTTGCTTAAGGTGTCTAGCAGGTCACTTTTTACTACAGCAAAGAGTAACCTGAAGTACTTGAGTCCGAAATAGTCAAATGTAAAGAGAATTCTAGAAAAAATGTTTCACTGGGAATTGATGCACCTGCTTATCTTCAGCAGCACATCCAGAAACATAAGTTTAAGCTCTCTTCTGTATAGAATACTAGGTTGTCATAGCTTTTTGCAGGCCCTTGGTATAGATTAGATGCAATTTTTCATCCATTTTGTGCAAAATATGGGTGTTATACTCTGTGCAAATCTTGCAGAATAAAGAACTTTTTTGAAGGCCTCAGCAGAAAGCTAAAATTAGATGGGTGTGGTTGCTAGGGTAGCATTAACATTCATAATTAAATTTGTATGCAGCCTTGGACCCTTCTGACATTTAAAAAATTATGTAAAAGCACTCAAATGTTTGTTTTTGTTCTTTACCTGGGTTAAGTTGTTCCTAGCATCGCAAAACAAGTATTAAATATAAGAATAACACATAGGCAAGAAGACCTAAACTAGCAGAGAACAAGACTTCATTTGCATCACCTACATCCCAAACAGATGCAAAAGAAAATCAGTACTTCATGGTAGAACTGCAAATCTTGAGCAAAAGGATGATCACCTTTTTGTCCCAATGAATAGCCATATATTCAAATAAATAGTAATCTTAAATACTTTTGCTATAAAATTTAGTTCGTGTGGTTTTACTTCCTTTTAATTGAGTACTGCAAACAAAGTGCATCACAAAGCATTTTAGGGAAATGGATCCGAGCTAGATTTAGACACAAATATTGGGTTATTCAGTTCCTAGGAGTTCAGCTTGAGTGGCTTCTGTCTTGTGTATGGCAGGAAATTATCATTAGGTATCTGGTAGCTCCTGGGTGGTCTAACAGCATCTTTTTATGCACTAGCAAATAATTTGCAGCTGGGACACTGATGTAGGACTGTCTGAAGGAATAGAAATCTAAATTGGCTTGTTCACATGCATTGTATGTTAACCTTCCTTGAGCAAGGCTACAGTTTCCCTATGTAGTAGGTTAATCCCAGATAATTGTTATGAGGAATAATTTGTTTCTATTTTATTTTTCAAATTTCATCTCTGAAAATGACTCTTGGGGATGCCAAGCTTGCTTTCTAGTCATGAGGGCAGGATGCATCACTGGACATGCATATGACTTGGAGAAGTAGTAGCTTAATTGCAGTAGTAGATATATATTTGCTCCCATGAGGGAAGCACCGAAATCTGTTTAGTGGGAAGATGTGAGCCATCTACTTGGAAAAAATCTTAAACTTAAATTTTAGAAGAATGCTTTTTCTGAATTGAAGTGATATGCCTTGTAGGTGGAAGCTTATTCATGGCTCAGCTGATTCCCAGCTGAGTGACTGTCCTAGAATGACCCCAAAATATACAATATTCCCCCGCTACCAGTTTTATTGGTGTCGGGCAAGAGAGCTCTGCTTCCAAACATTAGGTTATGTTTATACAGTCTTTTAAATGAGGAGACAAACTACCTGTTTGTCTTTCATAGCTAAAGAAAGTGGCGTGGGTGTTCTTCTGCAGTCAGTATGTTGTGGTGACTTTTTTGCTAGCGTTTATAATATCATTGGGAGTAGCTAGTAAGTGCTTCTGCAGATGGTTTCATTTAAGCTGTCCTTGTGGAGGAGGGAGGAGGAAACATTTGTCAGCTGGAATGAAGTTCTCTTAAATGCTTCATACTAAGCCTGCTGTAACGCAAGCCATAGGTGTAACTGCTGCCTGGCGATAGCTATATAAACAAAGAAATATTTTGTGGTGCTAAAATTGTCAAATAAATCAAGAGGAAGAGAATTATGTTAATTAAAGTTTAGTGAAATGTTTTTCATGTGCAAGGACAATATTGGATCTACTTGCTTTTGTCTTTTAAAAGCCACCAAAACAAAGCACTGTTCTTGAATCCCATAGCAATCGGTTGTTTGGTACAGATGGCATTGCCTGGATCTTTGCAGCAATTTTGTTTGGAGACCTATATGGCACTGTTCCTGTTCCCTGGTCCCCCAAGGAAATTTAGTTTTTACATAGTCTGTGTGGTGCAGGAAAGTTGTTTGGACAACCTTTTCTTGTTGTTCTTGTTTCTTTGGGGTGAGGGGATGGATTAGGTTCCTTTTAGAGTGCTTCTGAAGTGGCTTATATCCACGTTTTACCCAACTATTCAGTGAAAAATGAGAACTTTTCCTTTGCTCTCATAAGAAATGGCACTCATAAATGTTCCTTTACTAATAAATGTTATTTCCAGTATTGCCAGTACATCAGACTTCTGTAAGACCAGTGTTTTATCACAGAACACATAGTGAGAAAATAAGTGGGAATAGATGGTGAGCAAGTTGATAGTTATCAATGTAACTACCCATTAGAAGTGATGTATTTTTCTTTTGTATGTGTTTTACTTTTTGCATTTTTTTTATTTATTTATTTTTTTACTATAGAATCAGTGTTTTATATGCTGTACTTCATATCTCTTTTGGTTATATCTACCTTTTTGATGGGTAAGATTTGGAAAAAGGTAACTTTTGACTGAAGGAGAATACCGCAGGACAAAATAAGGTTTCAAAAGCCAGGATTTCCACAATGATAATAGATGTGTACTGTAACTTAACAGTTCTTAAGCTTTTCCTCTAATAATAGAATCTAGGACAATATTGAACATTTGTCACCTAGGTTATTTCACAGACTTGCTTTTGTCCAAGGTATTATGGGAAAAAAGCTGATGGTAGGTTCTTGAAACAAACTAATTGGAAGGGAGAAGAGGAAATGGAAATGCCATTATGGAGGTGACCAGTAGATCTATGAGATAATATTTGTGTGTTGCTTTGGTAATAATTTTAATGGCTCTTATTATCCTTTTTAGGCTTATGGCATGTCTGCTTTGCCTTTAAACTTGATAAAGGGAACTAGAAGTGCTGCCTATGAACTCCTGGAAAACACTGAAGATATTGAAGAAGTAGAGCAACATATACAAAGGATTAAACTGAAGGTTTGTTCAGTTGCTTTTAAGTAATGTTACTTCAAAATTTTGTCTCTTTCACAGTACTAGCTGTTATGGTAATGTTTGGTGTTTAGTCCAAGAAATTATGAAAGGCAGGACGAGATTAAAGGAGTGACTCAGCTAGGCTCAACTTCATTAACACCTGGGAACTACAGGAAATAACTTCTGTGGTTCAGATAAGAATTCCTTCCATAATTTCTATGTAATAGAAGATTATATCTTCTCCTTCAGAGCTGGTTTAAGCCCTTTGGGATTCTTTAGTCTTCATCCTGACTTCAAAGGGGGTCTTTTCTTACTAGGAACCCCAACTTCACTTCCTAGCTTCTGTAGGGCATACCTTCTCCAAAGTCACTACCAGTTCCAATTTCCAAGCTAAATTTGATATTCCTATTGAAGGAATATCTGCACTGAACACCTACTACCACAGTCAACAAGTAGGTGGGTTTGAGTCTACAAATCTCAATCCTTGTGCTAGATTGGGAACTAGTTCATAACCAGTATCTGGCTGGGAAGCAGATGCATTTGTCACAGAAGTGTACTATTCCAGAATCAGAAGAGAATTATCCATCAATATTTCTTGCACTGTATGGATTAGTAATCCATTGTAATTAGTAATGTTGATGGATAATTCTCTTCTGATTCTAGAATAGTAATTTCAGTAGCATTGTAGAGAGAGATAATCCTGCAAGAGGCTTTAGGGGCACAAATTTATATTCTGCATTCTGTGAAGAGAAGGGCAATAGTGAACTTAAATGCTCGGATAAAACTTTCAGCCACATCTCCAAACTCTTGAGGCTGGGAGTGACTTCGAAGATGAGGTAGTGCCTCCTGACTTTTTAATGGAATTTTTCTTTATCGTCAGATTCTAAATAAAGCACCTTGCTATGAGGCTTCAGGACTTGGTTGTTACAATCACATGTACAGCAGTCTAATACCTATTCTTCCAGTTCTAAGTTCTTTAGATACCCAATTTCTTTCCTAGAAGGTAGCTCCCTTCCATGGGTTGGAAGCTGTGCTGGGTCATGAAACTCAAGGCAGTAGAGTGGTATGTTCAGTTTGTAAACTAGGTAAGGCCTCAGTTTTTATGTGAAGAGTAACACTTACATCTGAATTACTTGGTAATCTAGTATTTTATAGCTGCTGAAGACTAAATTTTGTTGTTCAAAGCATGTTGTGGAACAAATAAAAAATAATACGCTTTTATCTATTGCAAAGGGATTTATTTGAAGTCCTCATGCTTACAAACTTGTAAAAAGCTTGGTTGTATTCATGAAACTTGTTAAGTCAACCAATGTGCATCTTGGAAGTGGTATATCTATGAGGTACAAATTGTGGGGCAAGTGTTTGTTTGTTTGTTTGTTTTCCCCAACTCTCTCATCTGCTTCCAAGTGTTGTCACTCTTTTTAAAGTGGCTTTTTTATTATAAAGCCATATTCCTTGGCATTTTTGAATTATAGCCAGGTTTTTTCTAAACTGGGAAATTTGCCTTTTTCTAAGTAGTGTCCATATTTATATAAACAAAGTGATACTGGCATTGAGAATCCTGTAGAATGGTGCTGTGCAAGCTTTTGTCTGCTGTGAAGTTTTTGCTGTAGTCCAACTTCTCTTGGAACAGGATCTGCATTGGCAACAGCCATGCTAATTGATTTAACAGGCAAATAACTTAAGTCTTGAAAGTAAACTATCCATCCCCTATTGCTGCACTTCCCTCTTGAGGGGTAAGGTGCTGCAATGGTTTGGGACACATTTTTTGTAAGCAGTCATATGCATTAGAATTACTGTGTCCCAATTAATCAATTTTTTTATTAATAAATTTTAAAATGGTGTTGCAGCAGGCTTGAAGTACATTGTTAATTTGTTTACAATGCTAGAGGTTTTAAGAGCAGAAAAAGGTGAATTTATAAATGCTGCTTTATAGTCTTTTAAGATAAATTTTAAATAGCCATATTTAAATCAAAATTGTAAGTGACTGAATAATAACCAACATTTACAAGCCTTTTAAATAACCTACAAACATTTCAACCTGTAGTAAGAATATGAAATGTTTGAACTACTTTTGTCATGGATTCATAGATGTTATGGTCGGAAGGGACCTCAATAGATTGAGTCTGACCCCCTGCATAGGCAGGAAAGAGCGCTGGGTTAGGATGACCCCAGCTAGCTGCCTATCTAACCTCCTCTTGAAGACCCCCAGGGTAGGGGAGAGCACCACCTCCCTTGGGAGCCCATTCCAGACTTTGGCCACTCGAACTGTGAAGAAGTTCTTCCTAATGTCCGGTCTAAATCTGCTCTCTGCTAGCTTATGGCCATTACTTCTTGTAACCCCCAGGGGTGCCTTGGTGAGTAAATCCTCACCAATTCCCTTCTGTGCCCCCATGATGAACTTATAGGCAGCCACAAGGTCGCCTCTCAACCTTCTTGCAGAGGCTGAAGAGGTCCAGGTGCCCTAGTCTCTCCTCATAGGGCTTAGCCTGCAAGCCTTTAACCTTACGTGTAGACCTTCTCTGGACCCTCTCCAGGTTATCCGCATCCCTCTTGAAGTGCGGCGCCCAAAATAGGCTTTATATGTTGTGCTAATTACTCTGCATTGACATGAAAAGCATATTGTATATTTAACTCATCCATACAGTTTGAAATATTCATTCCCAGCATTTTGCAGATTAAGGGAGTTAAATTTACTATGTTTGTTGGGAATCAAATTGAGTAGTTAATTATTACTGACTTCTTGCTTACAAAGCTAGCTGAGGCTACTGTATTTTTGTTTTCTGGAGATTTTGTTTATGGTTGACAATCACACAGGGCTGTTCTTATGGTTATATTTATGGCTGACTTAAACACATTGCTCAGAGGGCTTAGTCTGTTCAACTGGTATTGTTCTTGACTTTACCTGATAGGTCTGATGTGAACTCTGGCTCTTCCTCTAGAAGAAGTGGAGGACTGGGGAGCTGGTAGAAATGGGGTAAAAATGGAAATAATGTTTCAAAAACAGGGTTCCTATTGGATAATTCTGACTCCTTACAATTGCTACAGTGTTAGCTTATAAATAAAATTTAACACCTTATTTACGTCATTGTTACATTACTTTCATGCATTCATTTTTGATTGGCAGTGCAAAGATGGTCGGCCTCTATCAACAAGGGACAGGCGAACCCTACAGCAACTGGAGGAGAGGCTAAGGACACTTCGAAGAAGAGAGAGACACCTAGAGTTTATTGAGAAAAGCTGGTGGTCAAAATTCTGTGGAGCTATGCGACCCCTGAAGGTAAAAATAAACCAAATCCTTATCTGGGTTTTTCATTTTATGCCTGCTTTACTATAGAATAACTACTGTTGTTTATGTTGTCTTTACTACTATGGCCCAAGTCTGTTGGGGATGGGGGGTGGTTAATACCAAATAACTTATTTCCTCAATTCTCCAAAACAGTATTAAATAGCTGTTACTACTTCAGCTTGTATAGATGAAAAATGATGCCTCATTCTCTGCCCTTGAAAGAAGCATAGAGTGCTGCAATTGCATACATGAATGTGAGAGGCCTAGGTATTTGTAGGTAAAGATAAGCTTCATCTTTTTACCTGTGCTATCATTTTTTTGGAAGTCTGAGGCTTCTGGTCTTTCTCTATAATGAGTTATATGGCTACTCTTACATAGTAAGAACATGAAGTAGCTATTAGGTTGGTCTCTATGGGCACTTTTACACATACTTTGCAGGGGGCACTTTAATTAGAACAGCTCTGAAGGCCCCTCTGAAGTGCTAGCATATCTTGTGTATCAGTGTCCCCATGCTTAAATGGTGGTGGGGGCTCATCGACCAAGCTTTAGATCAAGGGCCCCCACCACCATTTTTAAGCATGGGGAAACTGATGCAGGAGGCTGCTGGAGCATGGAAATTGCCGTGCACCAATAGACTCAACTGAGTCTGCCCAACACACTGGAATTCCAGTGCATCAGAGCAGCCTCCTTGTATGCATGTAGGTGCCCTAGAAAACTAAGCTGTTACCTGCTGTTTCTATAACCATTGCTAGATGTTTAGAATTTGTCTTAATGCATTATAGATTGAGGCCTGTTTCACATGCAGATGTGCAGACTAGTTTTTATCAGTGAAAAGCCAAAAATTGACATGTATGTTAATCTACACATTTCTCTGCTATAGGACCTTCTAAATAGAGGGGTACTTAGCTGTGTTAGTCTGAAATTGGGCAAAAGGCAGGGTAGAGGTGCACCTTTCTAGAGTAACTGAATCAGTGATACCTAAGTGTTCTGATTTTAACATCTGGTGAAATGAACTCTGTCGTGAAGGCTTAAGTATCTCTGATTCACTTAGTCTGTAAGGTGCATCATTACCCTGGCTTCTAAAAGTGTGTGATACTAAAACCAGAAAACTAATGTATATTTGTAGAAAAAATGTTGGTTACTTGCTAGAAAAATCAGTACTTTAACACTTTTTATATTAAAGCATAAACTGATAAAATGGAATTCTGCAGGTTGGTGTTGGAAATCTCCCAACCTTAGCTAACTTTGTCATACCAGCTCTTTACCTTTCTTTAGTGGAAATAGGTCTTGCAATGAAATATTCTGACTCCTGGAAACAAACAGGGAAGAGAGCAGAGTGGATGAATTGCTTCGTAGTCCAATCTTCTGAACTTCTTCAGAAGTATGAATTCCGTGCAGCATCTAACTTTTTTCCCCATTGTCTTAAAGGGAAAACTAAAAGCTAAGTGGTCATTAACCCAAGCATATGTACTACTTCCATGCACTGGGTGAGTGCACTATGAAGTCCACCTCATCTTAAACTGGCTATTCCAGCTGGCTTCCCTTTCTAGGAGATAAGTGCTTATATGCAGCTTTAGTACTAAGGGGCTTTGGTTTTTCTGTTGGCACTGTCCACTCCAGCTGTCCTTTCCCTGTCTTCAGTGTGTCCCAAACTAAGGTCCTGATTCACTCCATAGATCAATTGATTGGTCTGGTAGCTTGTCTGAGAAGATGGCCTGTTCTTAGTTCTTTGCTGCTGGAATGATTGTAGTTGCTTTATTTCTATCAATGCAGTTTGTTGGAAGAAAAGACGACTTCCAGTAGAATATTCATTACATGTAATGCCCTACAATAAGAAGGATCATTAAGCTAGTCATGACCAGAGTTCTCTTGCTAGAAGCCTTTTGGCTGTGCAGTTTGTGTTCAAAACAGTCCTTGGTACTGACTTCTGTTCTTCACATTTGCATCTCTTACTCCTGTCTGGTACTACCCTCTCTCCAGAATGAGGGCTGGTTTGCTAGTTGTCTTCTCAGCCCTTCATCTTGATATCATTGCTTTCTTGTGGCCTAGTCTTTTGGCCACCACCCTAAACAACTGGGATACTTTGAGAGATGTGGCCCTTGTTCCTTCATGGAACTCTAGAATCTTAAATGAACTTCGAATTCTTATCGGTACAGAATCTCTTAAGTTGTCTTTGAGTCCCAGCATTGTATGTTGAGAATGGGAACTTTCTTCTACCATTTCAGTGTTTGATTCCTGTAGGTCATGGGTGTCCAACCTTTTTGAATGTGGGTCCGGATCATGAACTTTTTATCACCCAGTGGGCTGGCAGGAGCAGGAACTTGCGTGTGCCCTGTCCAGTCTCACCACAGCCTGTGGGCGCAGGGGTTGAGGGGCACCGCCTGACCCCACCGTGTCCTCCCTGCCACCTGGGTGGCCTCGAGGATGCTCCCATACCTGCATACTTGGGCTCAGCAGCCAGGGGGACATGCGGGGACCCTACAGGGGGGTGTGGGACGTGCAGGGACACCCCCCCTGCTCCCTCTCCCCTGGAGCAGCCTGAGCCCAAACGGCAGGGCTCCCTCCCTCCCTAGGGCCTGTGACTCACCACCCCCAGTGCAACATCTGTGGGCATGGGGGGATGCAGGGAGGCAGGAGCAGTGCCAGCTTCCCTCCCTGACAGCCACAGCCATGGCAGCAGCATCTCCCACGCACCTGGCCACAGCATCCCTCTGAGCTGGCATCCACGCCCACCTGCCCGCTGCACCACGACCTGCTCTAGCCTGCGGGGACGGTGCAGGGCGGGGCAGGCATGCAAATGAGTAAGGGAGGGGCAGGGCTAGGAAGGGACCCCGTGAAATGAGGGGGGAGGGGAGGAGCTGCACTGTGTTGGCAATGTCAAGCTGACACTGTGCGTATGGGGAAACTTGTCCCTTCCCCAGCCCTTCAGCAGTCATTAGGAAGCTGCTGCAGGCCTGGTGGAGGGACAAGGGGTGGGAACAAAGGTAAAGTGTTTACTTACTTTTCCCATTGCAGCACCTTACGCCACAAAATGGCTTGGCAGGCCACATGGCGGCCTGCGGGCTATATGTTGGACAAGCCTGCTGTACGTAGTTATGGTAGCAAGTTCCTCTTCTACCCCCAAACCCTTTCGGATTGGGATATGCTTTTTATTTATTACATCATTGTTACCATAAAAATCATAGAAAAATTAGGGTTGGAAGAGACTTCAGTAAGTTATCTAGTCCAACCCCCTGCTCAAAGTAGAACCATCCCCAGCCAAGGTTGTCTTACCTGGGTCTTAAATCTCTAAGGATAGAGATTCCACAACCTCTCCAGGTAGCCTGTTCCAGTGCTTTATTACTCTCCCCATGAGAGGTTTTTCCTAATATCTAACCAGAACTGCCCTTGCTGTAGGTTGAGACCATTGCTACTTGTGTTATCTACCAGCACCAAGAACAGCTCGGCTCCATCCTCTTTGGAGCCTACTTTCGGGTAGTTGAAGGTTGCTATCAAATCCCTCCTCAGTCTTCTCTTCTGTAGACTAAATAAGCCCAGTTCCCTCAGCCTTTTCTCAGCAGTGATGCCCTAGGCCTCTAACTATTTTCATTGCCTTCTGCGGTACTCTGCATCCTTTCTGTAGTGAACACAGTACTCCAGATACAGAGTACTCCAGAACTGGACACAGTGCTCCGGATGTGGTCTTACCAGTGCCAAAGAGAGGGGAATAACCATTTCCTTCAATCTGTTGGCAGTACTCTTACTAATGTATGTTGCTAGCCTCTTTGGCAATAAGAGCACACTGTTGGCTTATTCAGCTTATTGTCCACTGCAGTCCCCTGGCCCTTTTTCTGTTTTACTTAGCCTTTGCAGAGGAAGGAGGAAAGACCAGCTTATAATATGTAACAATTAGGGGTGCACTGATAGCTATTGGTATTGTCCTCCCCCAAAATTAAATCTGACTTTTAAGGAGGCACATTGGCATATACTGATCCAATTTCTGATATGAAGTCTGACCACTTGAAGAGCTGTGTCCAGCTGGTAAGTCTCTGAGGGGAAAGGGAAGAGGGGGGGATACACAGATCGAGGCCCCCTGCAGTGAGGGAGGAAGTTGGACTGGGGCAGGTGCTGCCCAGCTGGGGTGGGCCAGAGCCACAGTTCATCCAGGGGATGTAGGGGAGCAATGGGGGGCATGCCACCAGATCTGTGCCTGGGGCGAGGCAGGCTACTGTTGCAGGCTGTGGCTGTGCTGGGCTCTTCCTGGTGGGGGGGCTGGCCTGGGCTGTGCTCAGAGTGGGTGGCAGTGATGGTGGGAAGGGAACTACAGAGGGGGGGCAGCAGCCATCCCAAAATTTGCCATACCCTCCCAGTCCCCCCATCCCCGGCAGGGACTGGGATGGGGCTACGCTCAGGGTGGGACGGGTGGCAACACTGGAAGATCCTGGTGCAGCCCCAGCCCACCCTTGCCCCATGCAGATCCAGGGTCACATGCCCCTATGCCCTTCTGGTGTGTGCGCAGCACTGGGAGTCACCCCCTTCCTCCCCTCCCCCGACAAGCAACTGCTCCATCCTGCACCCTGCTATGCCTGGGCAGCGCCTGCCCCTGCTGAAGGCCCAGCCCTATTTTCCTCACTGAGAGGGTTCTCAATCTGTCCCCCCATTCCCCCACAACAGACTTACCAGCTGGATGCAGCTCTCCAAGCTGCCGAGATGTGCTTCTCCCAACCTACGTGCTGCGCTGTGGCTACACACATGAATGGGACATTTATTGGCCCCATTATCAGCTGCATCGGGCAAAAAAAAAAAAAAAGCTGACTTCCAATACAGTCAACTTTTTCTTTATATTGGTGCTGATCTGATATTGGACTTCTGGTGACAATTTTATCAGAATTGTGACTCCAAAGCTACGGATAATGAGTCTTAGGGCTGAACTACAATGTGCTTTAGGGGTTTTTTTTGCGGGGGGGCGGTTCTTCCCTGTTCGCTGGAGGTGCTTTGTTAAGGGCATATCA